TCCCACTTGGTTGTGGTGAATAATCCTCTGTTGGCTAGTAACTTGGTGAAAAATTTTGCATCCATGTTCATCAGGAATATTGGTCTATAATCCTCCTTTTTGGTGGAGTCTTTGTCTGGTTTTGGGATCAAGGTAATGCTGGCCTCATATAATGAGTTTGGAAGTATTCCCTCCCTTTCTATCCTTTGAAATAGCTTTAGTAGAATAGGTATTATTTCTTCTTTAAATGTTTGGTAGAATTCCCCTGGGAAGCCATCTGTCCCTAGACTTTGGTGTCTTGGGAGGTTTTTGATGACTGCTTCAATTTCCTCCCTGGTTATTGGCCTGCTCAGGTTTTCTATTTCTTTGTGTTCCAGTTTTGGTAATTTGGGGTTTCCAGAAATGCATCCATTTCTTCTAGATTGCCTAATTAGTTGGCATAATACGTTTTTAAAATCGTTTGTATTTCCTTGGTATTGGTTATGATCTTTTCTCTTTTGTTCATGATTTTGTTAATTTGAGTCTTTTTTCTTTTTAATAAGGCTGACTAGGGGTTTATCCATCTTAATAATTCTTTCAAAGAACCAGCTCCTGGTTTTGTTGATCTTTTCTACAGTTCTTCTGGTCTCTATTTCATTGGGTTCTGCTCTAATCTATATTATCTCTCTTCTGCTTGATTTAGGCTTTACTTACTCTTCTTTCTCTAATTCGTTTAGGTGTGAGGTTAGCTTGTGTATTTGAGTTTTTTTCCAATTTTTTGAGGGAGGCTTGTATTGCGATTTATTTCCCTCTTAGGGCTGTTTTTGCTGTATCCCAATGATTTTGCATGGTTTTATTTTCATTTTCATTAATTTACATGAATCTTTTTAATTCTTCTCAAATGTCCTGGTTGAGTCATTCATCTTTTAGTAGGATGCTCTTTAACCTCCATGTGTTTGAGTTTCTTTCAAATTTCTTCTTGTGATTGAGTTCTTAGTTTCAAAGTATTACGGTCTAAAAATATGCAGGGGGCAATCCCAATCTCTTGGTATTGGTTGAGACCTGACTTGTGACCCAATATGTGGTCTACTCTGGAGAAAGTTCCATGGGCACTTGAGAAGAATGTGTATTCAGTTGCATAATTGTTAGGTCTTCTTGTTGGATAGACATTTTAAGTATTATATAGTGTCCCTCTTCATCTCTTGTTATAGTCTTTGATATAAGCTGATATGAGGATTGCTACCCCAGCTTTCTTTTGAGGACCATTTGAATGGTAAATGGTTCTCCACTCCTTCATTTTCAGTCTGGAGGTGTCCCTTAGGTCTAAAGTGAGTCTCTCTCTCTCTCTTTCTCTCTCTAAGATTTTATTTATTTGTTTATTTATGAGAAACACACAGAGAGAGGCAGATACACAAGCAGAGGGAGAAGCGGGCTCCAGGGAGCCCAATGTGGGACTTGATCCTGGGACTCCAAGATCACACCCTGAGCCAAAGGCAGATGCTTAACTGCTGAGCCACCCAGATGTCCCTAAAATGAGTCTCTTGTAGACAGTATATAGTTGGATCTTGATTTTTTTTATCCAGTCTGATACCCTCCATCTTTTGATGGTATCATTTAGCCCATTCACGTTCAGAGTAACTTTTGAAAGATATGAATTTATTCATAGTATTACCTACATAGTCCCTGTTTTTGTGGATTGTTTCTTTGGGCTCCCTCTTTCTTTTACAGGGCCCCCCTTAATATTTCTTGCAGAGCCAGTTTGGTGGTCACATATTCTTTCAGTTTCTGTCTATCTTTATAAGATAGAAGCTTATATCTCTCCTTCTTGAAGAAGCTTCTCCTTAAAGCTCTTTATCTCTCCTTCTATTCTGAATGACAGCCTTGCTGGATGAAGTATTCTTGGCTGTGTGTTTTTCTCATTTAGTGTTAGTACCCTGTGTATATGCCAGCCTATTCTGGCCTGCCAGGTTTCTGTGAATAGGTCTGCTGTTAATCTGATATCTCTCCCCATATAAGGTTAAGAATCTCTTGTCTCGAGCTACTTTAAGGATTTTCTCTTTATCTTTGAAATTTGCAGGTTTCACTATTAAATGTCGAGGTGTTGAACGTTTTTTATTGCTTTGGGGGAGTCCTCTCTATCTCTTGGATCTGAATGTCTGTTTCCTTCTCCAGATTAAGGGAGCTCTCAGCTGTGATTTGTTCAAATATATTTTGTGGTCCCCTCTCATTCTCTCTCACACAACCTCTTCTGGAATCCCAATAAGATGAATATTGTTCCTTCTCAAGCTATCATTTATTTCCCTAAGGCTTTCCTTGTGGGTTCTTAATTGTTTTTCTCTTTTTTTTCCTCAGCTTCCTTCCATTCCATCAACTTGTCTTCTATGTCACTCTGTCTTCCACCTTATTAACTCTAGCAGTTAGAGCATCCAGTTTAGACTGCATCTCAGTTAAAGTATTTTTAATTTTGGCCTGATTAGATCTCAATTCTGCAGTAAGAGAATCTCTAGAGTCCTTTATGCTTTTTTCCAGAGCCACCAGTAATTTTATAATTGTACTTCTGAATTGAATTTCTGACATTGTATTTAAATACACATTCAGCAATTCTGTGGCAGAGGTGTTACTTCTGGTTCTTTCTTTTGTAGTGAATTCTTTCTTCTAGTCATTTTGTCTAGTGCAAAGTGGCTATATGAGCCTGCAGAGTCAAAAATATCAACCACGACCTAAGTAAAATACATCCTAGATGTTTCGGAAGAGGTCAGAGACAAGAAAATAAAAAGAACAGAGCAAAATGAAAGGACCACTAAAGTGAAAAACAACTTTTACAACAAAATAGAATAAAAAAAACAAAAAACAAAGAAAAAAAGTGGAGGGTGGTGAGGAAGTGGTGGTGGAGAGAGACTGCTTTGAAAGTTATCTAGGTAAGTTTGTGGGACCAGATGAATTGAGGACCCCTACTCTTCCGCCATCTTGCCTCCTCCCGAGACCTAGTTTTGTTTGGGTTTTTTGATTTCCCTCTCTCCTTCAGGGATCTTCCCTCCCTAACTAAGGATTTAGAGTAGCTTCCATGAGTCCCAAGACCAGAACTTACTATGGAGTTTAAGCTTCTGTTCTTGTGATACTGAAGATAACACAGATTTTATCAGAAGGCCAGTAATATTTGGTTTTGAGACTCTGTCCACAACCAGTCTCTCTGGACTCTTAGATGAAATTCATATCTCTAGATGGTGGTGGACAGGAGGGCTTTGTCATTTAAGCCTCTTTTAAGAAAATATCAAAGTCATTGGGAGAGGCTTCACTTCACTCAGTCCTTTATTGAAGCAGTGAGCCTGGATCTCCTTATTATCTTCCTTGGAACATTTTTAGCCCTTGTTACCTTTTCAGGAGCCAGTCTCTTCTTTCTCTCTCTCTTTTTCCTTCATCCATCCATCTTTCCCTCTCTCCCTCCCTCCATCCCTTCCTTCCCTCTCTTTCTTTCTTACCATTTGGAAAGAAGGTGAAGGTATTGTGAGATTTCGCACTAAAATGCCGTAGCATGTATATCCTTAAAAAAGAATGTGAAATCCTTGTTCATAGAGGAAAGTTGATGTTGATTTGAAAGCTTATGTTGATAAAATTATATTTCCTAATATAATGTCCATGTTCAACTTTCTTTAATTGTAACACAACACCTAGAAATTGCATAACAATTTTCAAAAGGGAATCACACATTTTATTTAGATCCGAGGTCTCTTAAGTCTTCTTAAGAGCAACCAGCACTGCTCCCATGGCCCTATTTTATTTTTATTTTAAATTTTTTTGCCTCTCACAATATTGACATATTTAAAGAGTGCAGGTCAGGCTTCTGATAGAATTACCAATAATCTGCATTTTTCTTAAGTTTCTTTTCCTGAATGGTCAGATTCATTTTACACTTTTAACTAGAATGCTGTATATTTTTGTTGATGTATTCTCATCACATTACATCACATCAGAAGCCCATGATATTTTGTCTCATTAGTGGTAATGCTAAGTTTGATCACTTGTTTCAGGTGATGTCCACCAGATCTCCTCATGATAAAGACATCTTTTTCTCTTTGAATTTAATAGGGAATCTTTGGGGTGATACTCATACTATGTGAATATTCTGTTTAACAACAATAGTGGCTTAGCATCCATTGGTGATCCTTGTTTGTATATATTATTATACTGGTAGTTGCAGAATAGATACTTATGTAATTTACCATTCCTTCTATATTTTTTAAGAGGACATCCTATAAAGAAGCCTTTTGTCTCCTCCTTCCCCACCACACTATTTTGTTTTTATTTCCGTATTTTAAAAGTATCATAATAGGCTCATAGGTTCTTTTTTCATGGGACATTTTGACTAGAAGTAAAGTAGTGCTTTTCTGCATATTTTTTCATTGTGCTTAACATGAATTTTTTAGGACTTTTTCTTATATGATACTTCATAATCAATTGTCTATGTGAAATAACATATTTTAATAAGTACCACAGTGTGGAGTTCCATTAAAAACACTCACCCCTGAGGGGTGCCTGGGAGGCTCATTTGGTTAACCATCCAACTCTTGATTTGGGCTCGGGTCACAATCTCAAGGTTGTGAGATAGAGCCCCACATTGTGCTCCACAGTGGTCCCTGTGATATGGAATATGCTTAAAATTCTCTTTTTCCTTCTCCTTTTGCCCTTCCCCTTGCTTTGAGTGTGCGCTCCCTCTCTCTCTCTCTCAAAAACAAACAAACAAAAACAAAACAAAACAAAACAAAACAACGAAAAGACACTTGCCCTTTCCCCAACTTTAAGAGATTGTTGTAGTCAAGTTTAAGTTTCTTTCATCATTTACTATGGTTAACAACTGTGGTAGCAGTTTTTTTCATTTCTTCTTCTTTGGTGACTTCAACATGAAATCGAATCTGGTATTGTTATTAAAAATTCATTGGTTAAAATTCCTAATCATAAAATATCATATACAAAAATACACTTTTCTTCCTTTCTCTCTGATAACAATGCATATGCATTGAATGCCCTCTCTGTCTTATTTTTAGGATCGAAGATTCAATGATGAAATTGACAAGCTAACTGGATACAAGACAAAATCACTATTGTGCATGCCCATCCGAAGCAGTGATGGTGAGATTATTGGTGTGGCCCAAGCGATAAATAAGATTCCTGAAGGTGCTCCATTTACTGAAGACGATGAAAAAGTAAGATTTCATGCCTTTTGTGACTTGTACTCTCCTTGGTCATTGATTGCTATTCTCCCAGAAAAGGACAAGACTTGTGTGAATAGTTGTTGCATTAACCCATTCATGGATCAAAGAGCTTTTTCTATTGTTACACAAAATGTAGTGGAAGTTTTGGATATTTTGTAGAATGTGTTACAATTGAAAATAATTACTTCATCTTTTTCTTACTTTTCGTTGCAACTCTCAGTAGTATTCTTTCCCTGGTCTTTATCTTCTTTATAAGCAAGCTTTTTAACTGAGGATCACACCACCACCACACATGGCCCAAGGGAAGTTAGGGGCATGAGGAAGGTGACTGGGTTTCAGAAACCTAGTACTTGCTTCTTGTGTTTCCTTTTCCTTTTTTTTTTTTTTTTTTAAGATTTTACTTACTTATTTGAGAGTTAGAGAGAGAGAAGGAGCAGGGGGAAGGGGAGAGAAGAAGTAGACTCCTTGCTGAGCGGGGAGCCTGAAACGGGCTCCATCCTGGGACTCTGGGATCATGACTTGAACTGAAGGCAGACACTTAACCAACTGAGTCATGCAGGTGCCTGCTTTTGTGTTTTTATAACTACTATGAAGAATTGTTTACTTAGTTCTTATATAAGAATCTCAATAAAATGAATGTTATTTAGTTATAATTCCAAATTACTAGTAAAGAGAACATTATTTTTGTCCCTGAAGAACTGTTGACTTTGGTAGAAGTAATGTATTTTTGTTCTGAAATCCTAAGTTCTTTCATCAGTAGTTTATTCACCGGCTCATATTAAAAGAGGGATTCTTTATAAAGCTGAAGTTTTTTCTGTCTTTGAAGCTCTTACCTTCATATTGAATAAAATATGGTGGAATATTTATGAAATTTGTGGTAAAAGCAAATCTCAAATTAGTTTGATGACTGCCATACACCTATTTGATTAAAAAAGGCACTTTATAATTTAACCTTCTGGATGTGAGATTGCTATTTGCTAGTGCTAATTACTAATGCATTAAATGAATGCAAATGTTCTGGTACTAAAGATCAGCATAAAATATGATTATAAGGAAACAAGATTTTTAAGTGAAGAGAGTCCTTTACTGAGTTCATATCTGTAGTTGAATTTGAATAACTCAAACCCCAGAAAATGTTTATAAACCCTTAGAGTGTGACAGGACCTCAGACAATTTCTTACCAATTCAGGGAAAACTAGAGTGTGAAGGCACTTGTGTTGGGGCTGTAGAAGCCCAAAGATAAATCCCAAGTGTGTTATGCCTTCCTGGAGCCAAACAAAGCAGAAGGCAAGATCATCAATAAGATGACCTAGAATGTGCTATAAATGCCTAGGAAAGGGAGGGTTAATCTCACTTGAAGAATGCAAAGAGGCTTCTTGGAAGAATGTAAAGAGGCTATAGCATTTGATCTGATCTCTCAAGAAAGCATAGGCTTCTATAAGACAAAGTCAGGTCAGAAGGTGAGGGCACTTAGGGGTGTATGAATATAGGCTGCCTCACTTACTCTGCAAATATTTCCATAAAATGTACCAATAAAGCAAAAATGTTGTTTTGCGCATTTTGTCCCAAAGGTGACAGGGTCTTATAGTAATGTGCCTCTTACAAGGATTCAGATAAAAGGACTAGGGTTTTGTGTTTTTCCAAACATAAAACTACCTGCCCATGACATCTCCCAAAGTTTAGTTTATGGATAGTAGTCCTGCCATCACTCTGTCTCCTTCATTTGAAAGGATCCTGTTATATATTTGATTCTCATCTCTGATTATGCTTATGTTAGATTGGTTTTCTGGACTTCTCTCAGTGGATTTATACTTGTGGCCTAGGGCTTTATGGGCCTGAATGATTTATAGGAGAGGTCTGCACAGGGCTTTGTCTTGAACAGCATCAGTGTTTAGCTCTACTGAGAATGTGGGCTGGGACAGAGGTCCAACCCCACTAAGGACAAATGGGCCAGTTTTGGGTGAGATGCTTAATCTGTGACTCTCAGTTTTTTCCTCCGTCAACTATACTATTCACCATTTACAGCATGAGAATTAAAAATCATAAGTTACAAATAGTTTTGTAAAAATATAAGAAACTAAGTAAATATAAAACAAATTTTATTTTTAAGTTATCGTTCTCCCAAGAATTTTAAATGTTCTTCTATATTTGTCACTTATCCTCAGGCAACTTATTTCTTAGATTCAGCATCATTTGGATATCACATTTGCTCCATGTGTTACATTTTTCTCCTTCGTAATTATCCCATGTGCCCACAGTAGAATTTTATTTTTTAGCCTCTATAATTCCCTCACCTGATTTAAAAACCCTACTCTAGTCTTACTTCTTGGATGAAGTCTTACCAGTTTAGGCAAGCTGATTATGTTCATGCAGGTGGCACTAGATGGTGAGTATTTTATCTCAACTTCTGTATCTGGTTATTGTTCTTTCCTGCAAGGATCCTGTATATTATAAACAAAACAGAAGTGCTGAGGAAGAAAAGCAGAAAACAAAATCTTAGAAATGCTTAATGGGAAATAACATGATCCAGATACTTCTTTTAAATAAGCGAAGACATTGTGGCATAATGGCTGCATATAGGCCATAGCAGCAGTCTACCCTGGTTGAAACCCCATCTCTGCCATAGCCTATGTAATCTTGGGCAAGTTGCTTAGCTTTTCTGTGCTCCAATTTCCTCCTCTTGGAAAAGAGATGATAATAATAATACTTATAAGGCTATAAGAGGATTATATGAGAGAATACAGGGAAAGAACTTGGAAGAGTGCCTATAGTAAGTCCCTATAAAAAATTAGCTCTTGTTGACAGCACATTAGTACATGTGAGATATAGTCTAGTCTCAGTTTTAAAACTACCTCTATGTAAGTTGTCTTAAGTCTTAATTAAGCACAGCCTATGTATCAGTTCCACTATTGGAGTTACAAGGAAATGGGAGATATACTTCTTTATAAAATCACATTTCTCTTGTGTGATTGTTAATGCACACAATATTTTACTTAGCACAAGTGAGAAAAAAGGTCTTGGCACAAGACTATGCTTATGCTAATTTGCATTCTACCTTTAAGAGTTATTTCTTACATATATGTCCACATGTGAATGTAGTCTACATTTGCCATTATTAGGGATTATAAAGTTTTTTTTCTTTTTCTTTCTCTACTTAGCCTAGTTTGCTTAGTCATTGTCCTATTACTGGAAATTTAGGTTATTTCCAGTTTTTCACTAATTCAAATAGCCCCTGAATGAACATCTTGAACAAATACCTTTTTCTTTTGTGTTATTTCCTTGGGGTATATTCCAAAGACTGAAATTACTGAGTCAGAGGGCAAGAAAAGTTTTATAGCTCTCATTCCAAGAGACAGATAGCTTTTGGGAATACTGAGCCTATTTACAATAGTAGTAGCACGCCTATACCTCTTTTTTGCAGAGCCCTGCCAACTTTGTTCAGTTCCCATTTGAAAACTCAAATTAGTTTTCCTCAGTCTGCCAGGCAGGCTTCAGACAACCTCCTCCCACACTCACCAGTATAACCTTAAGTGACAGAAGTTTCAGTGTTGCCTGCAAGTGAGGAAATAAGGAAGGGATATGGAAGCCCAGTAATCAGTGCTAGGTAGGGGGATCCAGATCAGATGGCCTTTGAGGCAGGTTCAAGTCTTTGACCTGCTAATTATTAGCTGAGTGACCTTGGGCAAGCTGTTCAATTTTTCTTAGGCTCAGAATCTCTGTAATAGTATTGTGAGGGATAAAATAGATATAGCACTTACCAGTAAATGAAATTCATGAAATCTTGTCATCTCTTTCAAAGTAAAGCTAAAATAATTTGAACCTTATTTGTTATTTTACTTCATATACATAACTGCTATGTCATCATTCATATGGGTAGTGATAAATTTATTGCACCTTTAGCATAATATGATTTGTATGTCCTGATATCTTATAATGTCAACTTCTGGAGACCATCAGCTGTATTTTATTTGGTGTAATTCCAAGCATTTTGCAATATGAGAATCAGTAAGTGATTTGCCTGGGATAAAATGACAATTAAATGTGGTGTATTCATTTCTGGGCTATTTATATATCTAACATAATTGTGCATGGGATCATATTAGATTTCTTGAAAATTCTATGCCTATATTTCAGTGGCTGGGCTGTATCACATAAAGTTGATGGAGAAGCCTTGAAACTCATCAAAATACTTTCTCGCCAAACCTTTCCTCATCCAATGCAAGGATCTTTTACCTGCCAGATGGTCATCCAGATCCTGCCTAAAAATTTCACTTTTAATGACTTTAAAATCATCATACTCTTTAATGTTCTTACATAATAGCAGTAATTTTATAAGCGGTGGTTAGAGTTTTGTGTGAAATAACAGTCTACCATAGGCACATATTAATAATTTAGATTACATACTGACAAATTACTAGTTCTGTAATTCACTTTGGAAGCACACAGAAAGGCAGATCACACAAAGGAGCTGACTGGAATTTCCTGGTTCACTTCATGGGTTTCTAGCAAATGTCCCTGTTCTTCAGTGATACGCATAAGCTAGCTGATTTAGGTGGTATGTCTATGCTCCTTGCATCCAATTAATTTGTCATTTTGTTATTCTTGGGTAAGTAGAGAGAGGCATTATTTTGCAGAATAAAATGAGACCTGGATGAGAGCAAACACTGGTAATCTGTCAAAATGCAGGGGCAGGCCAGATGAAACCTGGAATATGGAAATGAACATGGGGCCTTTATCTGCCCTTCCAGTTTGCCTATACCTGGTCCTCAAAGGGGCCATTTCTTATTGCAGTGTTGCATAAAGACTATGTCTGTTGCTTTCACTTTCCAACAGCCAACATATAAGCAGTTGTGGCTTGAAGTTCTTCAGCTAATCTCTACAGGGTTTCTTTAGTGTGTGGTCACCTCTCTCCAGCTCATAATTCAGAATGTTCAGCCATCCTGCCACTCTCCTTTGTGCCAGCATGTTCAGACACCCTGCAGAGCTGGGAT